TTATATACTGGAAAAAACAGTTTTATTATTGGGGTATATACACCAATACCGATACAATACCGCTATATTGGCGAGATCAGTCAGTATCAATATATCACTCTGGCTCTTGCATTTTATATTTGAGGACCTGGGAATGAGTGTAAGCGTGTAGGAGAAATAACGGTGCATGAAACTCGCAAAAAATGTCTATGTTTGGTTTTCCATTCTGAGCTACTGTAGAAACATGGTGGTTCAACATGGTGGACTCCATGGAAGGCGACCCACTCCCTCTGCAGATAAAAACTACTGACTACTCACACTAATGAAAACAGCTATAAATATTATATTCCATAGATAGACAATAGATCCTCCTAAATGTTACACACTGGACCTTTAACAAATATGCTTATAGTGTGATGTACCTGTATGTGTCTTATGCAGTCCTGCATTTAGGAACACTTGGAATGCTTTACAGTAAATATATATAGATTATGCATTTCTCCAAACAAGGAAGTACAGACATCAACCTCCACCTCTAAATGGAGACTGTGGGTACATGCCAGTTCCCTTAATCGCATCCAACTTTCTCTTACATGTTTCTTTTCCCTGCATCTTAGCCCCTACAAGGGAAGGATGCGAGGAAAGGAATTGAGGAAACATGTTTAGAGAAATGATACGTCCTCTGAATCGTCATTTGTGTTTGCATTTATAAAATCTAAAACCTAGGAGTCTTATCCTTGAGTTTGTTGTGTTCTTGTCTGTTAACTCCAGTATAAAACTTCAGCAATGTTGTGATCAGATCACTCTGATTAGCAGCAGTGCCCAGTCACTAACAGATTTCCAATATTGGGATGTGTAAGACCGCTAAAAGAGTATCAGTTCTCCTCAGAGATCCCTCCTCACTCCTGGCAGAAATAAGAGAACTGGATCAGCCTTATTGATGGTGGACCGGAACCATTTCTGGTGTTAACAGATGACATCACATCACCCCAAACCTGGCTTATCTGCCTTGGTTCTCTTCTCATTTTACAATTACTTTTAAGATTTTACTAATCACTTTCAAAGCACTTCTGGGTCTGGCCCCAGGAAAGTTGACCCATTATTATCCAGTTAGCAGCCTTAGGTCCTCAGGTGGGGCCCTTCTGGCTCTTCTGCAGTCGAAGCTTAAATATAAAGGTGATGATGCTTTTGGCATCAGGACCACTCGGCTTTGGAACAGCCTGCCTGAGGAGATAGGGTCTGCAGAATCACTTCTGTTTAATCGCTTCTTAAAACCCATTTTTATAGACTTTTCTTCATGTGATGTTGTCTTTGTACTATATTCTATCATTTATTTTATTTTATTTTTTATTGTTATGGCTTGTATTCTGCTCTTAATGTATTTTAGTATTCAATATTTTTATATTGAATTACATTTAGTATGTCACAGATATCACTTTGCTTTGTCTGCAAAGCACTAAAATCTGTTTTTAAAAGGTGCTCTATATATATATATATATGTCATTATTAAGCGAGAAAGGAACGATCAAATAAGGGGACTGGCATGTACCCAGTAGAAAAACTTTAGAAAAAGCAGAATGATGTTTTCTAAAAATTGTATATATATTTTCCTTGCTGAGAACTTTCTGTATCCGTCTCACCAATACCTTTATTTTATTTATTTATATACTGTATGTATTTATTTTTGCAGCTGTGAGCCTTTGCTGTTTTCCTGCAAATGCAAAAAATCACCAAAGCAATGAGCAAATGCAATACATTAATAGGTTATAACTCTCAGAATGTGGTGTATTCATACTCCCTCTTTTGAAACAGTGCAGCACTGTGAGTGTGCTCAGTTTTATCCTATCAAAGTGTGTGTGAGTGTGAGTGCATTGGCCTGTGTGTGTATCAAGGCAGAAATATTGCTTGGTTTTGTCCATGGTTCTATTTTCCTGCTATTATTAGAGAGCAGTGTTTCCAGATGGCAGTGGATACAGAGTGTAATAACTGATATTAGAGCCTCTGCTAACAACACACAGCGGCAGTGAATGAGGAGTGAGTGGAGAGTGACTGTGACTGTAGAGACGGTATCTCCTTATAATTGAAACTCACATCAGTGCTTTTAGACACCTTTAATGCACTGAGAGTGTGTGTGTGTGTAGGTGTGTGCGTGCGTGTGTGTGTGTGTGTGTGTGTGTCTACACTCACGTGGGGTCCTCTGTAGCAGTTTTGTGTTCCTCCAGTTCGAGGGCTTGTTTTAACCAGGGCACCTTGGCCTCCACTGGCAGAGATTCTGACAAAGACACAGAAAATGAGTCACACCCCCAGTCATCTCAGTCTGACACCAGTGATCAGGGCCCCAATTCATCAAAAACCTCAGAGTAGGAAATTGGTCCTAACTGAACCAAAAGTGATGCATATTGTTCCTACATTTAGAATAAAAAAAAAACATTAATTTTAGCAACTTTAGCAACCTGGGAAAGTCATCCTGTCCCCAGCAGGATTTATAGTCAAATTCAACACCATAAATACCCTTCTAACCCTATGCATAACCCTGCGTTTCCACTGCTAAATCTGACAACACATCTTAATATTGGAGTCACTCATTCCCCTGAATTGAACCTAACTCCAAAATGAATTGTTGAAGTAACTCAGTTGTTCTGTCTGTGCAGTATTTTAAGTACAGGTGACATATTTCCAGTTGTTCCATTGACTCGTTTTCTTGACTTTATATCATTACAAAAATATAAGCATTATGAATATGTATAGCTTACAATTTTAATTTTTTTTTTAGTTCAGTTTATCAATTATCATAAGCTCAAGTATACATCTAAATAATTCTTAATTGCCTTAAGTGTAAACATAAAATGAGAAAAGAATTGGCAACCATTTCGATAATGTTCTCTTTTTCAGAATAACGTCAAAAAACATATATTATTAATATTGTGTGCATGCAAACATAGCATAGTATAACGAAAAAAAGATTTTAGCATCAAAAATGTTTCCTCTACATACGCTGTTTTTAAAGAAACATTGTATTTCCATTAAGCATTTCAGCAATTCAGGCAGTATATTATAGAACGCTTTGACAGCTGGAAGGCAGAACT